AGACAATAAAGAAATAATTTGGGACTTTAAGAATAATTTACATAATAGTATGTGGGAAAACTACGAGGAAGCATCATTTTAATCCATTTTAAAACAGTATGCATGATTCATATTACATACCCAAATAGCAAAGCTTGTTTTTAGCCACTCGTATATGGAGATTTACTATGTTGTATGTTGAATATCCTATTAAACTGAATATATTGACAAAATAAGACATTCAAGAAATAATTTTGGATTTTGAGAAACTAAGATTCACAATTTTCACAAGATTTTACAATTTTCAAGACGAAACAATTAACTGTATACAGTTAAAAAAAATGTTTCGTACATTGATGATAACTAAATAAATCGTTGGTTGAGGCCCTAATGAGCAAATACATTCCGAGAGAAAAAAAAATTACATAAAAGTTTCTGGGAAAACGATAAGGAAGCATTATTTATTTGAATTTTGAAGCAGTTTGCTTATTACACAACCAAAGAGCAACGTTTGTTCTTATCAAAGAGCAAATAGTAAGATTTCCTGTAAAGAGTCACGGATCAAATTAAAGATATTTACATTTCTAGTTGACTCAGACTCAAGATAACTCCTTTGTTTTCCTCCTTGGATCATTATTTAGTAAATGAAGGTAGCTCCTTCCTTTTTCTTTGTTTCTTCTTTCTGTTTCAGTTCCCTCCTGTCTTATTCTTCCCCCTTGTTACTGACGTACATCAGCCATGACAGAAAGGTGATTCATTGCCCCCCCCCTTCTGTCTCAGCTTCACGTGTAGTGTGAAGTCAAACACAAACAACAAGTACGTGTTCAGATCTGTATCAAAGTGTGTTTTCTCCTTCACAATGTGCTAAGGTCAAGATGTGGAATGTGTGTTTGCGTACTTGCAGATAGCTCGGAGCTGTTTACACTCTAACAACTTGTGATGACTCAGGTCTTTTTCATGGACCCTCTGTTGTCACCGGTCCCGTTCTTTCCTCACAAGTCAAATTAGTAGGAATAAACTAACCTTAAGCCATATTAGTCAATTATGTTACCTAGTTAGCATTCTTTCTTTTTATTTATGCATATTTTACTAATCACTCTCCTTTTAAACAGTTTTTGTTTTTTACTGTCCTATAGTACACATTGGAATGATTTCTTACTTTATTTTTTAGAACTAGGCTATATTAAATAGATAAATGTGTGCCCACTCTAGCTCTCTCTCTCTCTCTGTCTCGCTCGCTCACAGAGGCTGTGTGCTCCTCTGTGGCGATCACGGCTTGCGTTAAAAAATAATAATAAGTGCGTGCGGATGCGGCGGCGGACAGGCAGGTCTCAGTTGGTTTGCTGTCCTCTGCTTACTTTTAATAATTGTAAATAAAACTTTTGGCCCGTAATTTCATTTCCTCATTGTAGCGACCAGAGAGGGGGGTATATATCCAGTCTCTGATTGTGTTACGTTATTATGAGAGTGCATACCCCCCCCCCTCTAACATCACCAGAAGTCATCATTTAAGGGGTCATTTCTCAAAAATGTCTTCCGGGGGAAGATCCCCCCCGGACCGCCCTAGTATGGTGTGGTCCCTATTTCCATAGCCCCACCAAAAATATTTTCCACCAGCCGCCACTGGGTCGACCAATCACAACAGAGCCGGCCAGCTAACCAATCAGAGCAGACTGGGCTCTGGTTTCAGACAGAGGGTGAAAACAGGTGCTGCAGCACCGGCAGTATGAGAACAATAAATACCTTTTTGAACGTTAAAGCATGGAGACATGTCACAGTTGAGGCACAAAATACTAATATGAACCTGAAAATCAGCATAATAATTTATTTTAATCATCCCCGCCAATTGATATTTGTTAGGTTGTGAGTGAGTGTTTATTATGTCTGTCTTTTATCCAAGGCAATTCTTGCAAACTATTGGACCAAACGAACTACACTTTTTTGGGCTAAAGAGGCTCAAGCCCTCAGATTGTTGGAATTTAGTTTTATAAAACACATTTTATTGTCTTCAAATCTGGCACAAATGTCCACCTGGCCTTACGGATAAATTACTTTAGTATGCTGAGCAAATGTCAAGGTTGCTGACCTTACAAATCAAATCCTGGCTTTGACTCAAAGGTGAATACAGCAATTATGACATTGTCACGCAAATGTCTTTATAGGATGAAATATGAGTGATTTATGATAATACTGTTGCACTTTTTATTGAAATGTCTGAAAGCGGGACTTTTAATAGTAGTGTTATTTGTCATTCTGGTATTACTACTTTTACTTATTCAACACTTATCAGTAGGTGGTATAATAGATGAGGAAGTCCAGCTCTGCACACCGACATCAACCAGACAGCCCAGGAAGCAGGTTTTTTTGGGGGGGTGGTAGTTAGAGAACACAGAGAGGTGCAGTGTGAGGTGGATGTGAGCGGAAGGTGTCTCGGGCGGGAATGGAGGTGGGGGGATGTTTGAGCTCAGCCCCGCTCGTTGGTGCAGTTGATGGCTCTCACAGAGGCCGGTTTGTGGCCCTACAGGGGAGAGAGTTGGAGGGAAAAGGCAGACGGGGTCTGTCTGCACACTGAGCTCTGTTGTCCTCTCAGCTGCCTCCAGCATATGGCCAAAGCATTAGGACTCAACCAAGTAAAAAAAAAGAAAAGACTTCCACTGTAAAAACAGGCTGGAAAAGTACCTCGCTCGCTCTGTCTGGGGGCAGATTTTCAGACTGAAAGTGCGTCACGCCACTTTTGACTGGTGACATTGTGAATTGTCTGTCAGCCCAGTTAGCACACTGTTTGTGTGATCAACCAGAGGAGACGATGGACTCAACATTACCATCGACTCATATGCGCACACAATTTGTTTAACTTACTTCAACCCAACCTCGATAATAATGAGTCATGTGAGAGAAGCATCCAGCTGTTGCCTTAGGGAACATATCTGATGAAAATGTGGAGTAGGCAAGTGGCATCCAGCCAGCAACACCAATAAACTTTAGTCTACATCTGAGGGTTTTTACTGCCATCAGATTCTGGACTGTGTGTATGAATCAGCCGCCAGCTTCGGAATGATCTGTGTCCCAGTCAAGCCTTTGATGATTCCCGACTTCCCTGTTAAAAAAACGTCTATATTCTCTCATTGAAGGGAACGGAGGCAGGATGTGGTACCACCTTCTTGGCATCGTCCCGTGCCCCTATGGCTCAAGCCGGCCGCACGTTGGTATACCCGGTCCTAACAGCTCACCGCCTTGTGCATGAGCTGCTTTGATGCTCTGCTCTGTGTCACTTACTTTTACATGGCTTGGATGCCAGTGGTTCTTGTGAATAGTTTAAACCGCAAACCTTGGCGGCATATTGTAGCCAAGGGTTCTTTTCAACCTGGAGCTCAAATAAAGGAAAAATGGGTCTGACCTGAGGAATGAGGCTAGCGCTAGAAGTTGCTTTTGTGTAATTTAAGTCGAGACTTAACTGTCCTTTGTGGTTCAGAAGAGTCACTGTTTCTAATAGCTTTCAATGGTGGGAGGTTTCCTTGACTGTGTATATCGTTTGAGATTTCATTTAAGATCTTTAGTGAACACTGGTTGGTTCAGAGTCTGTACGCCATCGCTGGGCTTTGAAGTGCTTTGATCCAGCGTATTGACGCAAATTGGGGAGCAGCACGCTGGCTGTCCTGTTGTGCTAAGCATATGGGGTAAATGTCTTCCATGTGTGAAGCCCTATGAAGTCGAGATCAGTCTTTTCCGTAGAAAAAGGAAGGTGGGGAGATCCAGATGCGCTCAGCGTTCACTCCCTCCGGGCAGAAATGTGTTGGATCAACATTCTCCCTGGTATACCAGAGGACGACGCATCCTAATTAGTTCCCTCTTGTAATATCAACTCAGTGCATTTCTCATAAACTCCTCTTCATCCTTCTTAAGCTTGTGGCCACATGAGTCAGAGCTGCTAACGATGGAGCTTCCTCATCGAATGACAGATATCATTATTCTCAGCAGACACTCCGTAATTCAGTCATTCCACTCCATGTTTTGTACTGTTCAGGGCCAAAGAGGAAGTGCTTTGGTTTCTTTGGCACACGGTGAGACCCCGGCATGGCCCCCCCTCCCCCAAATTCAGGGAGTCAAAGTTTGCCTCTCGTGTTTCTTGTGCAAACACAGTATTTGTTGTTTGATATCATTTTTTTTCTCCCTCAGAGGTTTTTGCAGCATGGTGCTGTTTGCTGCTGCAATTCAGTACAACCCTAGAGTTCCTGTTTAAGAAAGGAAGTCTTTGAAAAGTAGAAGGAATTGGAGCGGTTGTTTTTGCAGCAGTGACAAAATGCATTTACAGAAAGTAAATGTAGGTGTTCCTCCCCTTGTCCCCTTTCCCTTTCCCCAATCATTTTAGTATATAAGATGTTGATATGCAGTTGTTCAAATGAAAGTATAAAAAAAACAGGCAGAGGATTGCCTTGACTCAAAAGCCACTTTTTAAACAGAGGGTTTGTGTACTATACCTGCATGTACAAATACTTTTGTATGTGTTTGAATGAGGGGCGGGGAGAGAGCAGGAACTACTTAATATATAGAAAGCATAGGGATCTCATTTGGAAAAAAAGTCATGTAGACATGACTTATATGTGTGTTGAATGAAAGGGGGGTTGGGGGGGACAGCAGGAGGCAGCAGACTGCCTGGTTTGCACGCCACTCGTTTAGCAGGGTGATACAGAAAGAGGGGAGGGAGCCAGACAGAGTAGGGGGGGTTTGAAGAGCACACGAGAGCAAGGGGCTAGAGGGGACACGGGGAGAGTCTGCAAACAGTAACTCTAGCTCTCAGTCTGTCTGGGAGACCCAGTTCCCTGAACTTTCTGAGGAGATGAAGGAGCTGTGTGTGCACACACCCCCCTCGTCCTCCGCGTCTCACGGATGTGCCGCGGGCCAGTCCTCCGTTAGAAAGAGCCACGCCGGGACCCTCGGACCTCCCCGAATGGTGTCAGGGGGCTCCGCTATAGACATGGATCCTCTCGGGCCTGATTACGTGTCCATGTGTCTGTTGGCAGATGAGTCCTACCAGAAGCTGGCTATGGAGACCATGGAGGAGCTGGACTGGTGTCTGGACCAGCTGGAGACCATCCAGACGTACCGCTCCGTCAGCGACATGGCCTCCAACAAGGTGAGACAAATCATTATATAATATACAGTATGTGCAAACAGTGCATTGTGAAGCTGCTAGAAGTTTTTGCCAATGATGGGACTTCCCAAAAGTCTGTCCTCTGAGGAGAAGACATTATGGGATTTCACTTGTTGGCTTTCATTTAAGTTGATATGCAACATGAATTTCTCTTATTTATAAAAAATTACTAACATTTTAGAAACTCATCAGAAAAGTGTGTCAAATGGTGAATAGCGTCTCTCCAAAATGCCAACAGGTCAGAACATTCTATCAACTCACCCTGGAGACCATTATTCTCAAAATGAGTCTTACATTACAACTCTTAATATGTGCAGTGTTAGGGAAGCTTTGAAAGCATGCACGCTACCAATTACAGAACTTGAACTATAACAATGATTGCATGGGGATCTAATTTGGTTTACTCAAGCTCCTTAGAAAAACTAAAACGAAATGTAAATTGTCATTGTGTGATACAAAATAATAACACTTTTTAATATAAAAAACGAAGATTGCCACTCAAATTAATTTAATTTCCAGTGCATAAACCCAAATAAAGATGTAACCTATATTTAAACCCGAAAGGGGCGTGTTCGTCAATAGTATAGAAGCATTAGTAAATCAATAAATAATAAAACCCTTCCTTTCTTTTTATGGCCCAAATTGCTTGTAGTTTCATTAATTGACTACACATTAAATGCCCAAAAACTAACTTGATTCAATACAAAATGTAGTTAAGCTACTAGTTTAATTACATGTTGTTTACCCTTAACACTTTATATATGTTTAACTGTGTCGTTGCCTGCTTTAATCTTCTGCCATAATGGTGACCATGAGACCTCCCAGGAACACAGCCCCCCACTGTACACTGTCATCTCTTCCAAACCATAAGCACATTTTTTAAGCTAAGCCATTTCACAGGTTCAATCCTAGATGTAAAACAGTATGCATTTTGTAAGAAGTTGTCAGGAAGCATGATGCACGGCTGAACAACTGCTCTTTGTTGCAGTGTGGCTGACAATTTGCACACTATATGCAAAATGTAAAAAATGAAGCCACATTGACGCACTTGCAAAGTAGCAGCCGTTCTGTGGTAGAGTATGAGCTGGCATTATCATTATATGGCTGTCCTGTAGATAAGTGTTTGTTTTGCATACAGGACCACTAACTTCCTGTTAGTGTGTATAAGTGTGTATTCAGTGGTAAGGCCTGTTCTGCTGAGACACATGGCCTGTTTTATAACCGCTACATTTTCTTGATTTAATCTGATTACTGATGCATTTCTCTGTCATATTGTGTAATGTTGAGCTTAGCATTGGCCCACTTGCTCAAGTGACGTCATTATAAAGGGCACATTTAACTGACAGACGTCCTTTTGTCCAGACTATAGTTTAAGGTTTAACAGAGAAACTAAGGTCTTGTTAGAGCAAAGTTAATACTAGTTTCAAAGCTACACTCCACAGTTGTTCAACTTAACTTCTTATTCACTTCATTTACCCTCCTTTTCAAATTCATATTCTTTCTGTAACTTTGGATCAGGCAAGGTCACATCCTCTGTACGTCTGCCTTCAAACAAGGAGGTACTGCTACAACATCGGCTAATTTGTGTCAGACGAAACATTTCTGCAATGCTAACAATTATGCAAACATGTAAGATATTGCATGAAACAGCATATAAATGAATAGCAGGCACTACATACAGACTTTATTTGAAACATTTCCTCTAAAAAGAAAGGGATTCAATTAGGTGGAGCAGGGCTTTAAGCGTAATGCTAACACAAGCCTGCACACATGCTCACAGTGACAATGTCAGAATGCTAATGTTTGGCAGTTAAGTATTTAAAATATTCACCATCTTAGCATGTTAGCATGCTGCAATTTGCTCAATACCAAATTAGGAAATAAGTTTCGTTAAGAACAATGGCGACTTGTAAAGAGGTACGTGTAGATTCTGCAATAACATCAGATCTGAAGAGTATTTATTTATTGAAAGAAGAGCAAAGAATGCAGGCATTTCTTGATGGAACATGTGTTGTTGCTCTTCTCCCGGCTGGCTTCAGCAAGAGTTCAACTAATTCACCCAATTACCTGCTAAGTATTTTCTGAAAGTGCTCTTTCCCAAACAGTTTTGATGGTTCTGTGCCATCTGGGCCATCAGATGTGTTCATGGAAAGCTATGGGATCACCTAAGTTAATTACGTTTATCTCGAGAGTAACATCAAATGTCGTCATAATCCACCAAATACTTAGAATTTGGTTTAAAGATTACCTCAAAAACATCATGAGGATGCTTGAGATATCTTCAGGGCACCTCCGAAGTCATTGAAACATCTCTGAGTTTAGATAAATCCAACATGTTTTTACAAATCTGAAATCAGTCAGCATTCTGCTTTGGTCTAAGTGGATCAAAATAATCTCAACATGTGGTTTCAAAGAGACCCAATGCAGCTATTTAGAACTCATGACTTCCCTTTGCTTTGATGAACGTCTTTTCGTGCGAATTTCATTTGTGCAGAGCTCAAACTAATTGCTGCTCAGGATTACTCAACCCCCACGCAGACAGCGGAGACTGCATGGCGGCGTCAGATTATAAACATCCACAGTGGTGTCGTCCATTTCCGTCTGTGTTCTCCACTGTGGTCTGAGGGAGGATTGGGATGAAGATGGGGAGGGGTGTTGTCAGACCGGGTGACCGTGACACCAGTTTCCTGTCCCTCTCTTCTGCTCCCTGGTAACCAGACGACAATAGACCCAGCAGCCAGGTTGAGTCTTTACAGGCAACCGCGTCACTAGCACTGCCAAGACAATGAGCACGGGGCCCTGCAGGGGCGCAGGCGCTCCGGCCGACCAGGGGCATTGTTCGCCCTGAGTCAGAGTCCTCCCATACGACCCAGCAGCGCCACTAAGCATTGTTGACCAACAGAGAACGGGGGTCAACAGTTTATGATGTTAAAAGCTGATTGTTGTGAAATTACGCAGGGGTGGAAGGAAATCAGTTGTTGGAACACTCATCGTTTTTTATTGCAAAACTGGCGTCAGATACAGTTTATTTTTTGCACCAAGCATCTGCAGGCTGTATCATGGAATATGCTTCCAGCTGAGTATAAAACGTGCACAGATTTATACTCTTTTTCCCATATGACAACACGTGTATATTGGGCAACCAATCTTGCCAACATGGATTTGAGATGTTAGTTTGAATTAATTGTAAAGTTATATTGACAAATGTAATAATATTTATATTTGATGCATCTGTATTTTGATCTGGTTTTAATTGTTAATGTGCCCAAAAAAACGTGTTAATGTGTGTACCTGCCCAGGGACTGCAGATGGAAATGATCTTTTAGCTATAATCTGGCATATACAGCACATCTCCTCTTTTTGAGATGAATGTAGTTGTATGGTCCTTGTTCAATAAAGAGTAATAATAATCCTCATTCCCAGTATTTATATGACGTGATGTTGGAAGAGCCTGTTTCTTTTTGGGAACCCGAAAGGACGTAATTGATCCCATGAATAAAACCCAGGGTGTCTCCGCTTTCAGTGTCCAAGGGCACAGGTGTGTCCGGGGCCACGGGGACCACACACCCTGCTGACCGCCAGCCCGGTCGCTGTGACCTCAGAGCGGTGCAGCTGCACCCCCGCCCCTCACTATCATTACCCTCGCCACACTCCCAATGCCGATGCTGGCGATGGCCTTGCACAAACACTGCCATCTGAATCCAGTTAGGGGAGCTTAGCGCTTTGCGGGTTCGCGTGCGAGCGAGCCCCCGAGCCCAGCGCGAGCCAGTAGGAAACTTTAACTCACGTGTGGTCACTTCAGCTTTGAAGCACCGTCGTCTTCCGAGGGGAAAAAATGACAAAATGATTGAAACAGATGTAGCGGTGGGTCTGTAGCTGCAGCAGGGGTAATGGACATTAAATTATAGAGTTGTGATTCCTTTTGACTGAAGGGGCGGTGAGGAGATCAGACGGGCTGCAGTAGTGATTATGGTGCCTAATTGTAATTAAAAAAGTTGAACCTCTGTCCTCTGCTATTATCAGAGGAAGGTCAATGTTAAACCTGCTTTAATGTTACCCGTTTCTTATTAGTTGATCAGCAATTTATAGGAAATGTTTCTTTTTTATTGTTGCTAAACTGAAAACTTGCCGTTGTAATCCACTGTGTGTTGACACTGTAAACAGCGACGCAGGGCAGAGACGCAACATTGGATCACTCTGGGCTTTGTCAGATTGCACAGCTAAGGTGTTGCAATATGAGATCTAGCTGGGCAAAGCCATTTCTCCCTCTATTCTGCTTCAGTCAAGGTCAGCGTGTGCTGCAAGAACTGAAACTATTAAAGACTTCTCCCAGAGGAATGTCATTTATGATCTTCCGGCACAGTACGTCAGAATGGCTTGTTATCCGGGGACTTTTCTGTGATGAGATCAGGTATTGTTAGTTGCTCTTCGCCTGAAGCCACAATAGGAAGCAGGATGTCTACCAGTAAATGAGCTCAGTGAATTACTCTATCAAGTAAAAGGGAAGTAGGTGGGGACACATGCTCGGGCCTGTGTCTGAGGGAGGAGCCACCGACCTCTGTAGGCCAGTCAGACAACTCCGCTTTACTGCTATATGTTTCCTGCTTGACTCCACTTCAGTTAACAGAGAAAAGAGAGAGGAAGCAGGCAGAGTCTCAGACTGAACACAGTTAATGCTCGTGAAACTTTACTGGATTTCTTTCGGGTCGTGTGTGGTTTTACGCAAAGTGACAATGGGACTATGTTGTTCTGAAAAGCAGAAGCAGAACTTTGGGATGCTTACAAGTTGGAAAAAGGTGAGTTTTACTTTTGGAGTTGCTTACATTGTGCTGTGGGAGTTTGATCTGCCAAATGGATAGAATAGAACAAGTTATTTGATGTTAGGTGATTTCTTAAAAATACATGATTGGAAATGGTTTTATTGGCTTTTTTTACTCAATAGATTGAGATTCCCATGTCTTGTTTTCGCTCTTTTATTTGTAATATTCAGGCCGGTAAGACAATACTAAAGTTCTGTGCTTTAAAACAACTTTTTTTAATAATTCAAATGAGATTCTGGTGTTTTGGATGACCCTTAAATGCATAACTTATATTGCTTTTTTTGCAAGAAAATGACCAATTCTGAATATTCAATCTCTCTGAGGCATCCGCTCATCTTCTCAGAACCAACCACAAGGTTTTTTTCTGAGTTTACATAACTTCTCTAGATTGCCCAAGACCAGGGTTTGTTCTGAGTGTGAGCACTTTTTGCTAACGTCAAAGGATGCATGAGTTATTTCGCCATACATTGAGAAATCCATTGTCCTGTACACACTCATGCACATGTCACCATGCCGTGAGTGTATGCAGCGCGTATAAGATGAACTTCATGACATGGGTGACTAAAACTCGTCTCTGAGCCTGATTCATTTCCTAGAGGTCACACACATCCACTCTGTTCTGCCACTTTAAAGAATCAATTACAAGTTCCCTTTGAATGGAATAAAGCCTTCTAAGTCCAAGCTCACATTTTTGTTCTTATGAGCTCTCTTTGATTTCTTTTTTTTTTATGGCCCGCCTCTGGCAGTCTGGGTTTTGAGTTTTCAGCCAAGTCTTTGAAAGTGGTTTTCAACTTTCACAGTCAAGTAGATGTTAGCTGTCTGCTTGACAGCTTTTAGACAGCTGTTGAGGCCAGAATAAAAAGGACCCCATTGTCTGGAAAACACATAATCATGGCTGGGTTCTTTGAAGACGTAATAAAAAAAGCAAATTACTATCACATTTGCAGGAATTGATTGCACCATTATCCCATGGTATTCATTATAAAGGTTAGGAAGTGGTTTCGCATTAGTGTTCCACTTTTCTTGACGAAAAAGCAATTTTGCCTCAGGATCTGCCACAGTCTGTGATGGTGTGCTATTACAATGTCTAGCCTAGTTGTGTCAATCTAGTGCATCTCCTCTGTGTGTGATACGATGAGTCTAGATCGGGGACCACCTATGAACAATAGAGGGGACCATGTGACTCTGTTGCCATGGCGTTCAGGTTGACGTGCGATTGGTGGTACACCGGTGGGCGGCAGACTGAAAACTCTCATCTGTTTGTCTCCCAGCATCTCCGTTTGTGTCCTTTTTAATACAGAAAAAAGCTGCAGCAAGACAGGAAACGAGCTGTTATTTGTGGGATCAATTGTATGTGTAATTGAGAACAAGAACAGGTCTTTGGCACGTCCTGTAATGATTACGGACGGAAGTGTGTACAACAGATTATAAAACCCAGACTGAAAGCCAATCTGGTAAATTAATACCCCGCGTCCCCTCAGCCATGCGATAAGCGTGCCAGTGCTTTGAAGCCTTGCATTGCGCAGTATGCGTTGGATCTGTTCTGCATTACTGAGCAGGGGGGGTGGGGGGGAGTCGATCGAGAAGGGAGGGAAACCGAAGCAAAAGGGGGGGGTGAAAAGACACAGAGGGAGGGGGTTTGCAGAGAGCACAGGAGAAAGATGAGGGGGATCCTCCAAACACTGTTTTGTGCAGTGCCGCAAAGGTGGGAGGCAAAAAGAGAGACTCCATCAGCCCGTTAGGGGACTCTACAGCTAGAGCGCACCCCCCCTCCTCCTCCTCTCTGCCTTTTTTTACGTCCCTCCTTTCCTTCCTCCCATCCTTGCTTAATCTGGGCTAGGAAAGGCTGGATTTCCCCCTCGCATATTGCTGGATTTCCCCCTCGCATATCACTGGATAACATTTGGAGGGTGCAGGGGTTTGGAGACGCAGTGAGAACCGAAAAGAAAAGGAATTAATAATTGCATCTGTGGGGATTCCATCACTCTCGCCAGAGGCTTTTATGCAATCCTGGAAAACAGAGCGCGACGCAATGAGGAGACGCATTCGGCCAGGGATGTAGGGTTCCTCTACAGCCCCATTTCTGGACAATTCAGCCGGGGTTTTTTTACCATAGTTTAACCGTTTTGGAAGGCGGGGGTTTTGGAGGAGCTTTGGGCTTCGGGTTGTAGCTCAGCCTTGGGGGTCCACTCAGAGAGGAGCGTACAGGGCTTCTGCTGGGGAGCGCTAGGGGCTCAGCACAGCACAGCATCATGCCTGAGGCCAACTACCTGTTCTCCGTGTCCTGGGGATACATCAAGGTGTGTCCCAGAGGAGAGACGGCATAGATGCCCTGTGTGTGTGGGAGTGCATGCACATACTGTGTCAGATTTCTCACGTTTGTTATGTCTTGATTGAATCTCAGCCGTGGCTTGCACAGAAAAACACTGCCGCATTTTGTTTCCATGGAAAAACTAAGCATAAACATTATGTTTTTTGTATATCTTGCACTGTACTTTGTTTGTTTTTGCTCGGCAATCAAGTGTCTTAGAGGCTAACTCAAACCAGTACCAACAAAACATAAACACAGACCTGAAATGGCGCAGAGGCCACGCTCTCATGGGACATATCCCAGTGGATAACAACAGGAAATGCTTTAATTCCTATGCTCGGAAACCTCAGTGAAAATAAAAATATGTATTTTCTTGTACAGGTCATTAAACATCATGTGTTTTTGTTTTTTCTCCAGTTCAAGAGGATGCTGAACCGGGAGCTAAGCCACCTGTCTGAGATGAGTCGCTCGGGAAACCAAGTGTCCGAGTACATCTCCAACACCTTCCTAGGTGAGCACACTATTCACACAGCAGTATGAAGTGCAGTGTCAGACCTAAAGGATGCCTCAGTGACACATATGTGGCAGAGGTTACCCTATGCATGTGCTAAGAAGCTCGCAAACCAGTCTGATCTGGTCTGAGAGTCCCCCTCGCTCTGACTGCAAAGAAATAAGGGGGGGAGACTTCCCTGAGCGGGGGAGAGGGAGAATGTTTGTGTGCACGGAAAGTCACTGCATTATTAATCAGCAGCGTTTCCTTCTATCTTAAAAAGCCCGACGGCGTGTCATGACTCATGGCGAGCCAGTTTGTTCTTCTGGTTTTCCTCCTTCCACATCCAACACTGCCTGCTAGATGCTTATCAAGGCTGTGTGTTCACAGATTGAAAGGAGTGTGTACTGTACCCCCCCCTAACAAGAGAAGTAGTGCAGGGGAAGAGATCGGAGCGCAGAGAGATCCTGTTGAAGCCTGGTGGTTTTGTTGTTGTCTGTGTTGCAGCGAACACCTGTCAGGTGCACTGAGATCATTGTGCAGAGAGTGCAGCTGACATATTTTCCTCGCAGTGCGGTGTGTGTTGTGCACACAGTGAGAGTCCTCCACACACTGTCAGCTGCAGAGGGCATGTGAGAGTCTTAGCAAGCAGACACGCTGGATCACATGCACCAAACAAACCCGCACACTTACAAAAACACGAGATGAACATTTAGCTTTCCACTATTCTGCGGATTGTTATTACAACAGGGCTCAGGTCCTTAGAATGCACGGGCCACTGGAGCATGGGCAGAAACATTTCATCAGCACTTCTTGAACTTTTCTTATTATTTTCTTCAACCTGGATATATTTTCCGATGTTCTCTGTTTTACATCAAAATAAAGTGAAGGTTTTTGGGTTTGGAATGACAAAACAAGACATTCAGAGACATTATCTTTATTTGTATTATTCCATTTTTTTTAACAGAGTAAGCTGTAACTGAAGGATGGCTTGCTAATTGAACAAGTGCAGCCTCAATGTGTTGTCACGTAGGTGTGAAAGGTCAACTATCTCCCTGTGTTAACTTAATGTACTCCTTCCAACTCGGGTGCTTATGCAACATCACCTAGCCTAGTCCATTTTACTCTTTGGAGTGATTCAAAGTTAAGTATTTGTTCTTGTTTTCTCTCCAGACAAGCAGAATGAGTTGGAGGTTCCATGCCCGGCTCCCAAGTCGAGGGAGAGGAAGAGGAGGCAGGGCCAGCAGCAGCAGCAGCAGCAACAGCAGCAGGGTGGGATGATGACTCAGATCAGCGGGGTGAGGAAGGTCAGCAACACGCCCAGCATCTCCGGGGGCACCGGGAACCGCTTCGGGGTCAAGACGGACCAGGAGGAACTGCTGTCCAAGGTAAGCCATGGACCGATCAAACAGCACAAGTATAAAAGGTGTGTGATCAACTGAGACACTTACAGTCGTCTTCTCTCACAGGATCTGGAGGACATCAACAAATGGGGCCTGAACATCTTCAAAGTGACTGAGCACTCCCACAACCGGCCGCTCACATGCGTCATGTACACCATCTTCCAGGTCAGTGCCTCCTCCTCCTCCTCCTCCTCCTCCTCCTCCTCCTCCTCCTCCTCCTCCTCCTCCTCCTCCTCCTCCTCCTCCTCCTCCTCCTCCTCCTCCTCCTCCTCCTCCTCCTCCTCCTCAGCAAGCCTTCTTGGAGCTATAGAAGGATTCATAGCCAACTGTAGTGTCTTCAGTATGTTACGTTCAGCTGTCAGTGTCAACACAGGGACATCTGCTAGAGGGACATTAGCGCTTGGAATTGATTTCTAGCTGTGAATCATCCTGGCAGGAAGCGTACATTTTCAGCTTCTAGTATACGATTCAGAATATGAAGAAGAATTTACGGTCAGATCAAAAGTCTGAATACATTGACCCTAATGCATCAAAATGTGAAACATGAAAAAACGCAAAGAAAGAAACCTCAATGTAACGTCCTTCTTCCTTTTGACATGCAGGAGCGAGACCTGATGAGGACGTTCAAGATTCCGACGGACACCTTTGTGACGTTCATGCTGACCTTGGAGGGCCACTATCACTCGGACGTGGCCTACCACAACAGCCTGCACGCCGCTGACGTAGCCCAGTCCACACACATCCTGCTGTCCACCCCCGCACTGGATGTAAGTCATTTCTCTCTGTGCAAAGTCACTATTTATGGCCCTTAGAGGTACACAAAAACCTACCAGCCTCCGCAGTTTAAACACCAGGAAGCTTACATTTAGCATGGAGGTTAATTGTAGTGTAGTATATTGTTGTTTGTTTAGAAAAAAAGTGTTTGTTAATACCTATATTTGATTCTCTATTTTTTTATAACCCTTAAATTGGCCTCGTTTTTGGCGTCTATACTTCATTTAATAATGTTGGGCTGTTAGCGACCTAGCCATGTTGCTAACAAGTTATTAAACCAATAGATCGACCTGCTTTTTCATATAAATATCCACAGTCTGTGTCGTTGGTAGTTCTGAGGAATAGCAATCGGACAGCGGCCCCAACAATAATATCACTTGGAAACGCTAAAGTGGAGGAAGTAGTCTGTTTCCAGTAAAATTAGGTTTCGGCTACTTATTAAATTGACGTGAGACACCAATCAAGTCTGGCCACACCTTTTTTCTCAGGCTGTTTATTATGCTGAGATGAGGTGACTGGCATTACCGTCACCAAAACAATAACTGCATGCCAAAGATGACACATGAAAGGCTTGGCCTCCAACACTTGTTTAATACCTTACCTTGTATGGGCAGTGAAATGACTGTGAAGCTCAACCTCTCTCCTCTTCTTCTTCCTTCTCTTCAAACAGGCGGTCTTCACAGATCTGGAGATCTTGGCAGCCATTTTCGCTGCAGCCATTCACGACGTGGACCACCCAGGAGTGTCCAACCAGTTCCTCATCAACACCAGTAAGTCCTTTAAAAAAAGTCATTTTATTTAGTCTACCTTTACCAAAGAAGCAAAAATATTTGCACGGTTTAACGGGATCTTCAAAGGCAACATTCTGGGTCTTTAGGGACACGGCATGGCTTATATAGTTACCTGACCTGGGTTAAAAAAAGCAAGAGCTCCATTTAACCCTTTCTCTTTCTCCATTCTTCTTTTTCTCTTTAGACTCCGAGCTGGCTCTGATGTACAACGATGAGTCGGTGCTGGAGAACCACCACCTAGCCGTGGGCTTCAAACTGCTGCAGGAGGAAAACTGCGATATCTTCCAAAACCTGACCAAGAAGCAGAAGCAGTCGCTCCGGAGGATGGTCATAGACATGGTGAGGAGACGAGGCCAATAGAGCCTTCAGAGTGATGACAGCTTAATTGCTTGCCTCGAAAACTATTTCTAACATCATTGTCTGTGTCTTCCTTTCATTCAGGTATTAGCAACTGACATGTCCAAACACATGAGCCTGCTCGCTAATCTGAAGACGATGGTGGAGACCAAGAAGGTGACCAGCTCTGGAGTCCTGCTGTTGGACAACTACACCGACAGAATGCAGGTAAGAGTCAATCATGTACAAATAAATTGAGGTCACGTCAATATATGCGAAAGTTAATAACTTAAACATGGTCGAGGTCACGATCATATATCGTACATAAGTCAATAACCCAAAAATGATCGAGGTCAAGTCCAAATACGGCACAAAAGTTGATCAGCTCATGTCAAATGATCGTGAAAAAAGCTAATAACATGAAAAAGATTAAGATAATTTCCAACATAAATATGATTGACATCATGTCCAAATATCACGAAAAGTTGGTAACTTAAAAATCCAGGTTATGTCCATAAAAGGTCAAAAAGAGTCTAAAAAGCCATTACAGTGACAGGTATAGCCTCATGATACAGACAGTTTGGTGCAGACGAAAGAAATGCAAGATGTTTATTTAATTATTTGTTTCCCTTTTCAGGTGTTGCGTAACATGGTGCACTGTGCCGACCTGAGCAACCCCACCAAGCCTCTGGACCTGTACCGGCAGTGGACGGACAGGATCATGGACGAGTTCTTCCACCAGGGGGACCGAGAGAGGGAGAGGGGGATGGAGATCAGTCCCATGTGCGACAAACACACCGCTTCAGTGGAGAGAACACAGGTACAGAACACACACACCTAGCTAGAACAATTGGAAAAAATCGTAGTTGATTCCTCAACACAAGATGTCGTGTTTTTGACTTGGTTTGACCGTCTGTCAGTAAAATTACGGGGAAAAAGACTGGCTTCATTTTTATGAAACTTGGAGGAAAAGTGTAGCCAAGAAAGAATCCTTTACATTTTGGAAGGGATCTTAATTACGGGCCGCATATCACAAATTGTCTTTCACTGTTGCTTAAATTGCAATTTTTTTGCGCAGTTCCGCGTGGTCTCGGAATCTTTGGTAAAACAAATAATGGTTCCTGATTGGAAAGCATGTTGGACAACTGAAAATGATAACACATGTTGTTTGTCACGTCAATGTTATTTCCATATTACGACTTATAGCTCATGAACACGCCTAAGTTGGACGAACGTTTTCCGAACCCCGGAGGCATGTGAACCCTCGTACTGACATCATCCCTTGTTATGTTTTCTAGGTGGGTTTCATCGATTACATTGTCCACCCTCTGTGGGAGACGTGGGCCGACCTGGTCCACCCCGACGCTCAGGACATCCTGGACACTCTGGAGGACAACAGGAACTGGTACCAAAGCATGATCCCTCAGAGCCCCTCCCCCCCCTTTTACACCAGCGACGGGGAGGGTGGCCCCCAGGGGGAGCTGGAGGAGGGGCCTGGGGCCAGCAAGTTTCAGTTTGAGCTGACGCTGGACGATCAGGATGGACAGAGCGGAGAGAGCGCCATGATGGAGATGGTCGACGGGGTCATACTCCGAGACCCTTCCTCCGATCAGGGCAGGGTTGAAACGTGTGACGTCTCCCCAGCGGAAACATAGCCCAACTGATGGTGTTTGCGGAGAGCAGCAAGTTTTGGCTGAAATCATTTAATTGCAGTAGAGCAATCCTGCAATCTGGCTCTTTGGAGCTGCCTGGCACAGAGGGCCTGACTGAATGTGGGGCACCCCTGCAAACAAGGCTGGGAAACCCTGTGGCCGTTTGTTTTTGAGCCCCCTGGAAAGGGAGCTTGAAGAAGTCCTGCTCTTTAACGAAGGGACTTACTGTCAAAGAGGCGGGGCTGAATCGAAGAAGATGAAGTGGACAATATGTATCTGTGTTCTGGAACTAGTCAAAATTACAAACTTGCACTTGAGGACGTTTTTTATGTTCATTTTGATTCTTCCGATCGTGTTGGGATTGGATGCGACCTGGTGAAAACGTCCAACCAAAAACTACAGGAGAGAAGTTCTTCGGATCCAAGTAGTTTTTTTTTTCTTCTTACACATAAGTTGTGTGCCTTTTTTTAAACAACAGTGTCCTTTTTTTTAAGTGTTTTTATAATTTATTGAACACATTCATGTAGCTGTAAAATGTGTCAACTTTTTGTACAAGAAGGACACATTTGTCTCACAGTCTTCCTAATGTTCTGGCAATAGTATAAGCTTGTTCTCACTATAGTGGATGTATTTCTAAAAATCACACGACTTCCCAGCACAATTTGCACTTTGTGGCATAAGACCAAGAGAGCATTGAAAGCATCAGTACATTTACATTATACTAAACATGTGAAACCAAAATATTTTTGATTCATTCAGCTAGGGCTGCTCGATTATGGCAAAAATCATAATCACCATTATTTTAGTCAATAATTGATGTCACGTTTATTAAAAAACGATTATCCATTTACTTTGAAAACATCCATTTATTGAAGTATAATTCAACTGAAAAACCAATAAAATAATTTTAAATAATAATTGTTTTATTTCGATTACGTTGTTTTCGTAATCGTTGCAAGTCAAAATCGTAATCGAGATTAAAATACGATGAATTGCACAGCCCTACATTCAGCTATTTCTTTCCTCAAAAAAGTCATTTCACAAGGAATTTAATACGTTTTAAAACATATTCCTTGAAAGTGGAAATACATTTTGTATCTATGAGTCCAAAAATATGTAAAGAATAACTTCCAAAGATCCTGTAGATGATGATTTCACTGCTCAAAGAAAAAGGAATGTCAGAAATCAGATACATTTTACAATGTCCCTATTCCTATTCCCTATGTTACAAATACAACTTCTGACCAGAAGTCAAATGAATCCCTGACTTTGTCGCGTAGCTGGATGAAGAGTTAATTATTTCCTGAAATTTCACCTGAGATATCTAAGAAAGGTAAAAAATCGATCGAAAACAAAACAGTCGACTTTAAAATGATTCAGGTCATGTCTATAAATCGTGCAAAAGTTTATAACTTAAAAATGGTCTAGGTCCCGTCCAAATATCGTACGAAAGGTCAATAACGTAAAAATGGTCAAGGTCAAGTCAATATATTGTATAAAACGTACATTAAAGTAAAAAAATCTCCTCAAATCGTGCTGAACTATCGCCGAACAGGAAAGCTGTTTCCACGTGTAACTTCCTCCGTTTCATTAGCTCACATCTCGTAGTGGGCTTTACATCTGAACAGACTTAACCTTTGAATGACTCTAAGACTGTGCACACTTTTAATAAGGCACCTGTTAGTTATAGACTAATCGTATCCTGTAGTTTTTTTGATCCAGCACTTTGAATATGTCGACATTTCCGGCAGCTGGTTGCCGATCTGTCCAACACTACCTTAAAGGTACCACGATGTAAGGGGTGTGTGTGTGTGTGTGTTTGTGTGTGTGTGTGTGTGTGTGTGTGTGTGGGGTCGCAGAGTTGTGCCGACACTTCAGCTGTTTGTAACAGTGTATTTATTATCTTTCTCCTTGTATATTATATTGATTGTTAATATTACCTGCGTGTTTGTTATTATTTATATGCACTACCACATGTCAAATCAAAGTTTGACTGAACTCGTCTGGTGGTTTCTGTTTATTCTATTTAGCATTATTGCTATAAGACCGTAACATGAAGTTATGCAGCTCAATTTTGAAGATTTTAAATGTTTTTTGAAGTTGCTGCCAGAGAAGTTTGTACAGCGTGACCAAGTCGACCAAGTCTGGCTGTTTTATGTTTTGTTTTTTTAAGGATTATGAAGGCTGGATATTTTCTGCAGTGTATTGCGTACGGTGACGGGTCATTGTACAGCTATAGGAATATTTGCTGAAATATATAAGACATTGTTTTGAAATATATTTTTTCAGTGTTTTTCCTCACAATATATTGTACAATGTTGTATGTTGTGCTCAACAAATGTTTTCTATCAGATTATTAAAATGGGCATGAATTATATAATTTTCTGGTCTGTTTGTTTTTGGATCACATTAGCAAAAGCAACATAAATATTTTTAATATTATGAGTTAGGGGACTAGGAAAATACCAATACACTCCGATATGACTGGTGATACTGTTTTGTTTAAAATACGATACATTTTTAAAAAGGCCCTATTACCCTTGTGGAGTTTTCCCCTTCTCTTAGTGTGCTACATAGGTTTTTTAATGCATGTACATGGTCTGCAAAGGCTCAAATTGCAAAGTTGCCTCCTGCGGGAGTTTCTCTCCCACACAATCACTTTTGTTTACCGATATAGACTAATGTTATTTCCTTTGCTAGAATTCCATAACAATTATTGCAATTTTTTAGATTTGAAATGCTAAAAATATAAATAAAGACAAAATGCAAAAGCAGATCCCACTTTTTTGAGTGCATCAAAAAAGTGAACAATTTTTTTCCTTATGGCTGTTTCTGTAAAGTAAGATTTAAGAAGACAATACACTGCCTTTTTAGAGTGTCGCATCAAAAGAAATCGTGACCCTAGTATAATGATATGAATGGTTTTGACAATTTACAGAAATAATGTTTTTCTTTATCCCCGTCACCAAACATTTCATCATCAAGGAGTGATGAAATATTGAATGTTTATAAACTTGTTTACCCAGACTATGAAACAGTCAGATGATTCTCTATAATCACTTGTACACTATTTAAATGAATTGCCAGGCTTATTACAGCCATATGTGTTTTTTTGTTGACGTCATAGTACCAGTTTTGCAGCTCTGAGGGGAAAACCAGGTAGTGACACATCTTCCCTGTAATTGAACATCACTGACTGCTGGACAGCGATTAGCAGTGTAAACAGGAAGGTGGATATAGTGATGCTATGTGCGGAGCCCTCAGGGCATTCACTCTCCCATTGCCTGGAGCACCTTGACCCCAAAGGATAAGCATCTCGAGTACGTGATAAGCAGCAGGAGGGCAGGCTGGGTACAATTGGCACAAAGCCAGAAATTGTTAAAGATTATAGTTTCTGAAATAGGTCAAAGAAACAGAGGAGGGAAGGCTTGATGCAATCTGATCTTCACTGCTCATTATCTGGAAGTGCAACTTGTTGAAAGTTTCCAGTCTTTGCAGTTAGATAGTATTTGTCTTTAACAATGATTTACCCTGATAAATGCTCTGAATACTTATGGCGCGTTTCCACTGCAGGCCTCGCTCGGCCTCGCTCAGTTTGGTTAGGCCTTATTAGGCCCGGCTCACTTTAATAATGCGCTTCCATTACAGTTTAGGAACTGGGGTAGTTACTATAGTAACGCAGTGTAGGCGGAGCCGTGACGTCATCTTCAATGAGCGCCCCAAAAAACAACACAGCCGTTAGCTCTTAGCACTCAGAGCTCACAGCTCCTCATATCTGTTCAGAAACTTGACAAAAGTTAAACAAGTACAAACCACAGACTGCCTGTGTCATGGCGAATACAGTCGCTGGTTTATTTATGTCTGTATAGGCCGTTGCTGTGAGTGTGGACGGTCGGAGCATATATAACGTTAGCTTACTAGCTTAGCCAAGCTCCATTTAGAAAGCACGCATTTTTAAATGGTTTTTCGCCTGCCGTCTGTCTGCAGACTTGTCAAAGCATTAATTCATGGTTTTTACTAACCGGTATCAGTATGTTGTTACTTCGGCATCATTTTGAAACGTGTATTACAATTAAATCACGGTCAAATATGTTCATCTTGTTGTAGTTGTAGCCCCCTTGCCAGCGATTCTCTCTCTAGTTTAGCATAGCCGACTCAGCCTGGTTGTTCCTGGCCCTAGTACCACGATTTAGTCGGGCCAGAAAAAAGGTGAAAAAGTAGCCCCGGGCCAAAACTAGGCCAAGTGGAAACGCAACCAAAAACGGGCCCCGCACGGCTCGGCACGCTTAAAGCGAGCTACACGCTGCAGTGGAAACGCGCCATTAGATTGCAATTGGTCAGGTTACCCATGTTGTAAAAGCACAAATTGGCAAACATTTTTGTGATTATTAAAGTCATAAAATGAATTGCAAAAAAATAATCAATCATACTTAATACGTCAAAAATGGCCGTAGCCAGAACAATTTCACAAATACATGTATTTTGCATACTCAGAATATCATGTTGATCAAAGGACCCTTTGCTTACAAAATCCACCTACACGTTTTCTGTGCCTATTACACAACATTGATGCTGTTTCTATTGTGTAACTTTTCGTTGCTGCAGTTAGTCAGAAATGTTTGACTACATTCGCAAACATGAATAAAAGTGAAAACATTTCAAAATGGCCATATTTTAAAGACGAATATCAACCTTGACAATGGTAGTCCTTGCAAAGCAACTATGATATAATTGCAAATTTTTCAAATGTAGCTGATTATAGTCCTTTGGCAATATGTCTACGTCACCCCAACCACATGTTATCCGTAACCACCCAACCATATATATATTTAATAAATCACAGGTGGCATTTTAGATTAAGTTTACTGTGGAGATGTGGATGTTTGGGTGACCACCAGAAACCCGAACCTCCTCTTCCTGTAGATTCAGTGAAAAACGAGTCAAGTGTTTATGGTAAACACGGCATAGACGTGAACGAGGCTTTCCATGGTGGTGGTCCATACTGCCATGGCAATGGGCGGCTGGTTTGTTTAGAACTCTGACACGAGTCTTGTGGTCTGTTGCAGACTGACGTCAGCAGGGTGAGGGCAGACTGCCCCCCCCCCCCCCCCCGCCCCGGCCCGCAGCACTGACTGTGAAGAGCCCGCAGGTTCAGGCTCCGGCTGCCAGTCAACCTCCTTTCTCCACTATAGCAGCCAGGCTGTGAGGGGGCCCGGGGCCCCAGGCCAAGGCAGGAGAGGAAGAGAACCACTTCCAGGAAAACAAACTCGCTCACTTTGTAATAACAAATGTCTTCCTGGAGTTTCTCCTGGACAGCTGCTGTTTGTTTTTAATTGAGTTGACAGTGAGGAAAGAAGTTGGAATACAGGGTAATACAGGGCATTCCAACTTAATCCAATAGCAAACCAGGCCTGTGTGTGTGAGTGGGTTTGTCTTTATCACATTATGGGGCGTACGGCATGTTAGTAAAGTCTCGGAAAGCATGGTCCCCGTTATAGATGTTTTTGTCTGGTACCCACACAGTACCACAAAAAAAGGATGTGTGTGTCAGAAGAGGGTGTATTTGTCTTTTTTTTGCAACATATTTGCAACATGTTAGCAGTCTCGTACAGCGTGGTCCCTGAAATAGATATTCTGGTGTGGTAACCCTACAATAACAAAAAGACAAGGATGTGTTTGTATTAGAATGTGTGTGTGTGTGTGTGTGTGTGTGTGTGTGTGTGTGTGTGTGTGTGTGTGTGTGTGTGTGTGTGTGTGTGTGTGTGTGTGTGTGTGTGTGTGTGTCAGAAATCAGCTTAGAGTGGCTGAGACAGATGGGTATGGAAGTGCCCTGAAAAAAAATGATGAATCTGGAAAAGATCAGATGAGCCAGTCAGCTTCCTCTCCGAGGCCTCTTGTATTTGTGTGTGTGTTTCATGGACTCTAAAATGCAGGATTTGGACAATAACAGGATGAGTCCTTCCCAGAAAATGTCACAAATAATCTACTTATCAAACACGGCGGCAGTCATCATAGATAGGCCATTGTTTCTTCTCAGTGTGGATTTGTCTCTGCATGCAACTGCCCCAAATATCTTCAAATACATAGAATGTGTACGCAAGCAGTTATGTAATCCGCAGAATGAGCAAATGCATAAGAAATGTGGATACACACCCAGATGTAAGACATAGTTGTGTTGATCTTTCCAGGAACATGCTGTAATATTAACCTTAACTGGGGAAAGCCGAATTGACGTCACAGTTAGATATGTAAAAAAATCAATACATTATGGTAGCTTTGTGTGAATGTTGTCGTTGCATGTACGTGAAAAAAAGTGGATCCTCTGACATTTAGCCCATGTGTGAAGCACTTGTCCGTGTCAAATCACATCTACCATGATGCGCTTAAAGACGACACCGGGATGACATTTATGTGCCGATTCCTGGGGGCTCGGAGTTCAGCAATGCTGGGAAATGTTGGGACATGGAAGGGAACATCCCTGTAAGGGACGCAGCGGCACACAAGAGCACACTGTCATCTATGTTAGTCCAGAAATAAAATAATAAAACACCCCTGGGAACATGCCACAACAGATGAACAGATGTGACACTTGAAGATGGAGCGTCCACCTGAGGGGAAAGAAGACGGATTATTGATCATGCATGTACAAACACGCCACCTGAACCCTTTTAGGTAAACATACTCATTGCATATGCAGTGTTGACTTTCACCGGATGAAGGTTGTGAATTGTGGTATCTGATAGAGATAGAGATCTACTGTAAACCAAATCAGGTTTTATCCGCATGTCCTCTTTTTGCCCCGATCGATATTTGTCCTTATTTGACATGTACAGAGAGCTAGGCAGGGAAGCTCTGTAGCTCTGTGGTGTGTCAAAGTGAGTGTGTGTGTGTGTGTGTGTGTGTGTGTGTGTGTGTGTGGGGGGGGGGGGGTGGGGGGGTGGGTGGGGGGTGGGTGGTTGGGTGTGTGTGGTCTAGCATTACTGTACTTGTGGGGACCTAAATCTGTTTACATAGTCACGTGTGGGGACTGGCTTCCCTTATGGGGACAAATTGGAGGTCCCCATAAGGGGAATCATTCATTTTAGGGTGAAGACTTGGTTAGGGTTAGGCATGTGTTGGTTATGGTTAAGGTTAGGATAAGTCTCCAGGAAATGCATGTAAGTCAATGTAATGTCCCCTGAAGTGATGTATACATGGTGGGTGTGTGTGTGTGTGTGTGTGTGTGTGTGTGTGTGTGTGTGTGTGTGTGTGTGTGTGTGTGTGTGTGTGTGTGTGTGTGTGTGTGTGTGTGTGTGTGTGTGTGTGTGTGTGTGTGTGTGTGTGTGTGTGTGAGGAAGAGGTTCAACATGCACTGCAGAGAAACAGTCTGTGGTGGAGAGGAAAGACACAGAGAAAGAGGAGGCCTACACAAAGTGAAAATATCAAATACACGCCACATGTTAAAGGAATGAGATAAACAAAAGGTCCTCGCTGCAGAAGGTCATCCACGCCCAAGATGTAGATCTGAATCTGCTTTATTGTTGCATGGTGTCCCTTTACCTATCACCAAAACACACACACAGGAAACACGTAGCAATGCTGAATAATAATAATAATAATAATGTGTAATAATAAATAGATTATTTAATTAATAATAAATACAACTAAATACAATTTAAATTAATTAAAAAACATTCTTTTAATATTAATAATCATAAAAATAGTTTTTTTATTTTTCCTGATTTTATTATATCCCAATAATTATAAGAATAATAGTATTTTTTTCTTGATTTTTTAAATATGTTTTTACTTGTTTTATTATGACCTTATTATATGTTAAAGGTTCTCCCTTTGATACAAATGAGGATTTCCCGTTTGTTGCAGGAAATGTAGCACTGTTATTGCACCAATAATAATAATTAAAATGATAATTATATGATTTGTCTTTTGACACAAATTGGAATTACACATTTGTGGAAGCATATATCACTGTTATCGCACCAAATAGGGAAATATGTTGTGTTGTAGTTGTCTATGCTATGCTTGACAGTAATGGCCTGTTGCTGTGGTTACCAGCTTATTGTACACAAGCGCTACTTTTTCCATAACAACTTTCCCTGAGAGAATACATGTTTGCTCGGAAAAACACTGAGCCTGCTTTAAGTAAGGTAATATTTTCTTATTTCTTATTATTCTGAAACTTAGATTGTTGTTGTTAAGTAGAAAACATGAGACAAATCCTATTGTTGTTTTGTTGTGAATTCCAGTAAGAATCTGAGAGCGTCACAGTCTGCAGTTTCCTCTGGCCCACTGGGCTGCTCTGAATCACAGATAACAGAGTTTCTCCCTGCTGCTCCAGACGCTGCCCCTCGGCATCGGGCTCCTCCGGCGAGGCCCCTGTGTGGAGCTGATGGAGGATGCAGATAGGAGAGGCTGTTGTGACTGGGGCAACATGTTATGATGGTCCGATAGCTTCTCGTAAGTAATCATAGTGTTTGTGTCTGCACTGGGCTGCATGTGTGCGCATGTGTGGAATGTGTGTGAGTGGTGTAAACAATAGCATAGAATGTACGTGGCAAACATTTATATGTATCATCAGTAGTTTAAACAACAAATTACACCAAACAAAAAACTAAACTTTTCTAAATGTATGTGATGTCTATGTCAAGATGATCATGTCACATTTTGTTATTTTGTTTCAATTAGGGGACCCTCGATTTGATTTGATTGACATATCAAAAGAGAGCTCAGAGTGCGAGAAAACAATTTAGCAGCCAAACAAAAACTATGGAAAAAAGGTAAATCATTGCAAAATAACTGACAGCAATGAATATTTATTAAAGATGCCTAAAAAAAAATTTAACAAACTTTTACAAGGGAATGTATCTTTGTGTAAACTTCCTACAACTGATATATATATATATATATATATATATATATATATATTTATCAGTAGTTTACACAACATGTGAAGTACACCATTCAAATCTAACTTTCCCAAATGTATGAGATTGGTGCATGTCTATGTCAAGACGATCATGTCACATTTGGTTATTTTGTTTCAATTAGGTGTCCCTTGATTTGATTTGATTGATTTGACCAATCAAAAGAGAGCTTAGATGAAAACTATTTAGCAGCCAAACAGAAACCAAGGAAAAAAGATAAATCATTGCAAAATAGCTGACAGCAATGAATATATTAAAGTGGCCTAAAATTAAATTAAAACAACTTTTACAAGGGAATGTGTCTTTGTGCAATCTTCCTATAACTGATGGACATCTAAACTGGGACATGGAAACAGCGGGGGCGGGGTTTTACGGCAAGTGCTCTGCTCATAACGTACAGTATGTGCATTGTTAGGGAATAATTTGCTTAGGTATTCAACCTTCGACACAGTTCATCGTTTTCTCCTCTCACTGTCTCCTTTCCCATGGCATATACGGCCTTGGGTATTGCTGCTATCTCTCTTAAGGAGGGGTAGCTTGGGCGCATTGTTGTTACCAGTCTATGTGGCGTGTGGTGCAGTGGGTTGTGCGTTGGTGTTGGGTTCAGGGGGTTACAGGTTCAAATCCCACTGCAGTCAGCATGTCGTTGTGTCCCTGGGCAAGGCACTTCACCCCAAATTGCTCCTGTGGTGATTGTCCACAGTATTGAGTATGTAAGTCGCTTTGGATAAAAGCGTTTAACAAGTGACATGTAATGTAATATAATGTCTATGACAGAGCACAAGCCGCCATGAGGTAGTTTACTGCTCAGGGACGAAGGTTCCCTGGCGCACATTCTTTTCTATGGACGGGAGCTCTAGTTAGATTCAGGGTCCATAATTGTTTAGTCTCACTGATGAAGAATGTTGATTATTACACTCCGAACTAGTTAAAACCTCGAGCTGCAGAAGAGTTCTTCAGAATTGATTTGGCAACCGCTGTGTCAACTCGTGACACACCACCTGTTTTGTCAATTCTCCGGCCATAACTCCAAATAAACCACCAGTGTTTGCCATCAAACTCCAGACTCTCCATTGCTACAGAAGTTTCCCCCACATGCATTATGTGGTTGAATGTTTTGAAAACAGAGAAAACATTAAGCACCAAAAACACATTACAGACAATCTCCAAACAATAGATTACTCATGGTCTGCTGACATGTAAATGTAGGCTGAGCGTCTCGCATTATGTCGAAGGGCAGCGTGGCCTACGTGCAGATCAGTGCCACCAGAGATGCCATGCCTCGTCTCCACTCTACCATGTCAGTCTTATTAAACCCCCGCATTCTTGTCTCTCTCATTCTCCTTTCAGACCCCACATGAAAGAGTTCAAAGAGTAAACCCATATCTGCCTTTTTCGTTAGCTAAGTGTGCTCTCTGGTATTAGCAATGGTTGGAAAATGTAGTATCAGTGAGTGAAAATGTAAGATCTTTGTTTACTTTGAGGTCACGCTCACACAGGGGCCCTCAAGCAAACATGTGCTCTCAATACTCTCACTCTCTGCTTGACATGCTGCTATTGATGACACTACAGATGGTATGTAAATGAATGTAGAGGCTGGCTTTTAAAGTGCATTTAAGGGGAAATCAAATGATTTCAGGGGTTCTTGTGGTCTGGGGATGTATTATTCCCTCAATAAATACCTAACTGGTTATCATTGCACAGAATTGAGGTCTTGTGTTTCAATTACATTGGCTTTTCTCTCTGATTTATGTGAACAAATTATAAAATAAAAATACCGTATTTGAAAAATGTCAATATGTATATATTTTTTGAAGGGAATTCATCATTGTTATAGCACCAACCAGGAGTCCATCGTGTTTTATATAAAATATGGGATGGGCATGAATAAATATATATGTTATACATATATATATTTATTTTATTATGAATATATATTCACACAATAATTTGATTAAATTAAAAGCAATGAAGTATACAAATGAAAAACAATGTAAAGTAAGGTGAGTCAAACAGAATCAACATTCATTATTGCACATTATTAAAGTATTTAACAATTTTTTTAATGTTCTGTTAATTTATAGCCTTTTATTCCGATTTAAAACATGCAATTAACATCTTCTTGAAAGCACTGCGTATATTATTATGCAGTGCAGTAGTGACACCTTGTGGCCATACGGGGAACAACCACGATGCCACTTTACATGCAGAGATCATGTGTGTCCAGCGGGCGTCACTGTTGAACCGCGCACTGCATTCACTGTACACAGACAGACAGCAGAAGTCAACCAAGGAATTTCTGCTACAGCTGATTCGATCGCCATCTTTGGCGCTAACATAAACAACACCAGTGAGTCTCGCGTTGGCATTCTGGATGCATAGCGCCGTTTGGAAGAAAGCGACAACTGTCTCTTCGCTGCGGCACTGAGCTTCTCCCAGAAAATGACGGACTATCTGATCACTTGAGCCACCGTGTCAGTGAGGTAAGAAGCCTCGCAGTCTGTCGAGCAGCAGCAGCAGGGTCCTTTAAACTGAACGTGAAGGGATGCCATGACAACGACGCAGCTGTCATTAGAGCACCACAGAGCTGTTTAGCGATATACTCTGATATCTGTCTTCTTTATGCTAGCAGGCAGGAAACTACGAATGCATGCTTGGCCTTTTAAATGTGTATCGGGAACATAAATAGCGTCTGACATGTATACACCCTGCTAACCGGGTCATTCTCTGTGTGTGTGTGTGTGTGTGTGTGTGTGTGTGTGTGTGTGTGTGTGTGTGTGTGTGTGTGTGTGTGTGTGTGTGTGTGTGTGTGTGTGTGTGTGTGTGTGTGTGTGCGTGAACACTGTTAAAGGGCTCGTGTCGCTGCATCTCTGATTGAAGCTAACCTGTTTTTCCTCAGAGATGGGGATCCGAGGTGGATTTCCTCACCGGGAGGGAGAGGAGCTTTAAAAGGGGGGCGGGGCGGGGCGGTGAGGGCAGCGGAGGGGCCTTGCTGCTCGTCTGCCCGGAGGAGATGGACCAGGAGTACGAGAGGCGGCTGCTGAGGCAAATAAACCCGCAGAACGTGCCAACAGAGGCCGGCCACGCAAAGGTGACATGAGGGGACAGTGAAGTGTGTGCGCGTGCGCGCAATGGGTATTTATGTTTAGCATATTGTAGTCCCCCTTATCCAAATAGCTTGGGTTTGACTTTATTAGCATCATGCTCATGAATAGTTAAATCCTGATTAGGAGCAACATTTACTTTAATATAATTATAATATAATGCATATCATGAAATAATCTATACATGTATCTACCTATCTACACACATGTACACATGCATTTGTACTCATACATATTTAAAAATAAATAACAATATACGCTCAGTGGGGCAGTAACTAGCCGATTAACTCTACTGTATAATTTTGAAGTATTTGTAATGTACTTAATTATTTCTGTTTGCTGCAATTTGTATTTTTTTCATACATATTGATGTCACTGCACTAAATGTATCTGATAACGTTATTTACTTCGATTCAGAGTAACTATACACCATTTAAGTGATATGTACTTATGCTTTTGGTACTTTAAATACATTTTGATTCTAGCCTTTAGTAGCTTTTGTACTTTATCCTTGGTTGAAAATCTGGTTAACTTGTAACACATTCTACTCTGTGGTACTACTTCATTCAACACTGCATACACTCACAAACAACCATAAATACATTACAAACTGTATGGGCAGGTGCTGAGCCACATATAATAAGGCCTTGAATAAGCCTGCTGGATTATTCATGGTGTCACTATTCCTGTCTCTCTGTGCATCGCAGTGTGTGAGCGCCACCTGCAGTCCGGTCAGTGTTAAGTCGGGGGATCGCTTCATCCCCACCCGCGCTGGAAGCAACTGGAGCATCAATTTCCACTACGCCAATGTGAGCAGTAACTTCTTCATCTGCACACTCACCTGATCACATGACCGTTAAAGCTGCCCCATCAGAACACAGCTTGGTAATCACAGACTGACGTACCCTTTATTTTCTCTGCAGGAGAACTGTCGCTCCCCAAATCAGAACCACAAAGCAAAGGATGCCAGTTCAGACTCGAGCAAAGGTCAGACATTTATACTTTTTTCATCTTATCCCAGTTGTTGTTTTTTGTATTTTTTATCCTGTGCCGTATCTCTACACTATCTTCAATCTCAGGATCCATGTGTCTGTGATCCTCTCCAGAATGGAAGTAGTCATCACATACAGAGTATCAACTAGTTCCTGAACAGTGTCCTTCACACCAAGAGAGGGAGTTACACAGTCACAAGATGGAGGAATAGAAAGCAGTATTCAATGTTTACTTCAGATTAGCTCCACGTCAGAAATGAGCATGCTTGTCATATGTCTATCTCCATAGAGGCTGAATCATCATGTTAATCACATAGCTATCATATGCCTCAAACAGTCCTGATGCTCTTCTAGGTAATCACACATCCTGTCATGTACACAGCTACAGTTGGGATACCTTTGTTATCAAGTTACTCTCATATTGGAAGAGGACATTCAGTATTTTCCCAAAACTGTCCATCATCTTTTCACTGCCCCCCCCAGATGCGGTGGCGTACGCTGCCCTGCTGAGGAATGAGTTACTGGGGGCGGGGATAGTATCTGTGCCGGACCCCCACACGGACGACCGGCGGCAGGCAGTCCTCTCTCACGCCTCTCACAGCCTTTTTAGGGTAAGAGTTAAGACAAAAATGGCTTTTTAACTCCAAAACAAAGTGTTTCTGAAAAGTCCTCGAAGTCACACACACTGACATCATAATGACAAAGCTATCAGGCTAATATCAGGCTAATGATGAGTTGAAGTGATTCAGAGGTATAATGTTACATTTCAGCAGTCAAATGTGTACTTACTTACATTATCCCAAATGTTTCTAATCATTTTCAAATCTAGAGGATTGTTTTATTTGATTCAAGGTAATGATATATTACATTTTATTGCATGTAATGGCATTGTATCCCTTTTGCAGTCCGTCACTTTTAATACAGTTTTAAGCCACATTTTAAATGACTCTTTCTAGATGTTTTTTAACTGTTTATTTTAACCGGATGAAATATTGTAGGCATTGGACGTCTAAATAAAAAAAGAAATTAAGAATCAAGTCCAGAAAAAGTTAGCGTCAGCCAGAGAGCTTCAGACAAACACTGATTTATAAAGTGAAACTGCTTCATTTAGTGTGTTTACCACCTTTTAATCACATAGAATAGACCATTAGTTTCAGAGAGGACACCTTTAAAACCTCCAAACCAAGAGAAGCCAACTGCAAACTAACATGACCCTATTCAACTACGCCACCAAACTCTTGCCTTGTGTTATTGATTTCTCATGGCAGAAAATGACACATTGCACACGTTACTGAAAGATAATCCCTAACTGTAGCTCTGCTTTGTGTTCACCCCCCTGCAGTACACTGTCCACACGAAGAGAGTGCCTTTTGATAGCGACAATGAGGTCTCACCCTACTCCCTTTCTCCACTTAGTAACAAGAGGTAAGACATGCTGCACAGACACTGTGCAAAAAACTATCTTGTGTATTAATGTATCTTTTTTGTTTTCTTCTCGATATCACGCAGTCACAAGCTGCTCCGCTCGCCTCGTAAGCCAGCACGTAAGATCTCTAAGATCCCCTTCAAGGTGCTGGACGCTCCAGAGCTGCAGGACGACTTCTACCTCAACCTGGTAGACTGGTCTGCGGGGAACCTGCTCAGTGTGGGTCTGGGGGCCTGCGTCTACCTGTGGAGCGCCTGCACCAGCCAGGTGAGGGGGGGGGTGGGGCAGAGAGACATACACTTATAGTTGGGATTTGATTGGGGAATATCAGTTTAAAAACAGAGGGTTTGCCAAAGTGCTTCACAATGAACATAATATTATAATAAAATGTAATATTACACGAATAGATAAAAAAGCACACATAAGAATAAATACAAGGCACATAAAGGCTATGGACAGACAGTAAAAGCATACAAATAGGTAAGACATAGCTCAGACTGGCTGGTAAGCGAGGGAAAAGAGGTGGGTCTTTAGGCGGGATTTAAAAGCTTCAAGAGCGGGCGACAATTTTACATGAGGGGGCAGGTCGTTCCAGAGCCTGGGGACTACCGATGAGAACGCTCGGTCTCCCCTGGTCTTTTTCTTTGTTTTTGGGACGATCAGCAGCAGCTGATCAGCCGACCTCAAATAATCTGTGTTTGATCTGTTGATAGTATGGCAGAATAGAGAACCTTTTTTTCACTTTGTGATAAAAGCGCAAAATGTAATACCAGCGAAATGGCTGTATATGATTTGAACCATTCCTTAAACACATCCTGATTATGCAGGGTTAGAGATTACCCATGGCCTGTTGGCAAGAGAGTTACTCTGTGGTCCTCAAATATCCCCTGTTGTTTCATCTGTTGTCTTTTGAGAATGAGACTGCATGTCTTAGTGAGCTAACCAGTTAAAGGTTAATAAACATATAGAAAGTACTGCAACACTTTGATAACTCAATGTGACAGTACAGTTACAAACACCCGATTCAAATGCTACCAGTACTTGTTGCTAGTTAGCCGCTGATATAACGTGCTGCTTTATTTTTTACTTTTTAACTGTTGTTGTTGCACTGGCCCTGTGTTGCTGTAACACTTCAAATGTTACTGTTGTTAGACTCGTGAAGAATGATCTTAACTTCTTTGTCCTTATGGCATCGCACTTTCCAGTAACTAAGTGATCCCTACGCACTGAAGAGCTTACTGTAATAGTACTAGTATAGTTGCCCTATTACTACTATAACTACTTCTAAATGTACAACATTTCGTTTTTCTTTTTCAAATAAAATGTGTTATGAATAGTTTGTAAACGTTGTGTCTTGACAGGTGACAAGATTATGTGACCTTTCTGTGGATGGAGACTCTGTTACATCTGTGTGTTGGAATGAGAGGGTGAGACACATACTGTATGTACAAGATAACAATGAACAAAAACAACTGGACTGTTATTTTAAGACAGCAGTATGAGGACAAATACAAAGTTTTAGCAAAGACAAGAAGGGAAATAACATTGAGTTTGACTTTGTCTCCTATCAGGGGAGTCTTGTTGCCGTAGGAACCCACAAAGGTTACGTTCAGATCTGGGACGCAGCCGGAGGGAGGAAGCTGAGCAGTCTGGAGGGTCACTCTGCACGAGTAGGTCAGTCAGAGCTGCCGTACACTGCTGACTCATCTGTTTCACTCTTAGGCCGCAAGGTGAACCTCGAAAAGTCCTTTAGAAAATAAATCCCGCTCCACAGAAGTGGAACTACATAATCTTTACTTCATAAAAAAGAACGAGTCATGCTTATCCACCAAAGAAAAGTTCGTCGCTAAAATTCCTGTCAATTCTTCTAGGCACGTAATTATTGGCTGAACTAGTCCCTTCAAAGCGTAATAATATCTTGGTCAAAAGTAGTGCCACGGCTTGTCACGTGATCGTGCTACACCAATTGGGTAGCTGCATATTGTCAACAGAAGTGAAAGATGGCCGCCTACATGGTTACGCTAAACCAGACCAAATGGATTCTAAACAGTGCTGTATGCTTGTTTTATGTCATGTTTTGTCATATGTCTTAATACATCACTAAGTCCGAGGTATTTGCGTTATATACGCGGTATTTGTGAGAGGTTTTACTATCTGGGAACAGTTGACCATCGAATCAACATTGGCTAGCAGCGTTTATCAGCCAACTCCAGCTACAACAACATTCCTGGACTACCATGTTCGCATCGCTAGGTTCATTGGCTGAGCTCGTGAATTATTCCATTAGACTGAGGACTTTTTGTTTGTCTGTCTGTTGTTATTGTTACCCTGTACACGTTAAATGCACTCTTACAATAAACATGACTTGATTTCATACATAGCTGCGTCCAAGAAGGTTAACTTGTTACGTTAAGTAATTTAGATCAATAAAATGCAGTACTTATACCAATGACCATTGATTCATTTATTTACTCATTCATCATATAATAATTTGATGAATGGCATTATTATTATTATTATTATTATAGATATATATAGATTATTATTATAGATATATATATATATATAGATTATTATTATAGATATATATAGATTATTATTATAGATATATATAGATTATTATTATATATAGATTATTATTATTATAGATATATATAGATTATTATTATAGATAGATATATATATTATTATTATAGATATATATAATATATATATATATATATATATATTATATTATATTATTATTATTGTAATATGATAATATTGTATTTGTAACTTCAAAATCAATGCCACCGTTGTAAGCTTGTCCTGTACGTATTCCATCTTGTATTGGTAAAATAATCAACCTTTTCGTGCTTCACAGACGTAATATGCATGTAACAATGTTTGTGTGTTGATCATTTTCACTTTTTGAGACTTTCTGGTGCGTTTTCCTCGTCCCCGCTACTCGATGAAACCATGGCAGTCGCCATTTTTTCCAAATCTGTTTGTTGATACCGGTATATGCAGCTACCCAATTGGTGTAGCACGATCACGTGACGGACCGTGGCACTACTTTTGACCAAGATATTATTACGCTTTGAAGGGACTAGTTCAGCCAATAATTACGTGCCTAGAAGAATTGACAGGAATTTTAGCGACAAACTTTTTTTTGGTGGATAAGCATGACTCGTTCTTTTTTATGAACTAAAGATTGTGTAGTTCCACTTCTGTGGAGCGGGATGAAACGATAACAGGGTTCACCTTATGGCCTATCTGCTTCATCTTCATCACTCAGGCTGTGTGTTTCATCAGATAATTATGAGATAGTGGGACAGAAATGACATATGTTGTCACATTGATTATTGATTAAGGTTCGATTGAATTGACTGAAATACTCAGTATAAGCTGACGACTTAAAAAGTGATTTGACAAAGGATTAAAAAAGTGACAGAAAGTAGGAAAGGAAACATGTTGACTTAAGTATTGACAGCAAACATTGGACTATACCATTATGAGTTGCCTCCTAAAGTCAGACTAGATCTTTGTAGAAAGACATGACTTGAATTTGACTCAAACGAATGAGCATTTTCTTCTTAAGATTAGGCAAGGCAAGTTTATTTATATAGCACCTTTCAACACAAGGCAATTCAAGGTGCTTTACAAAAATGAAAGACATTCAGACAAAGGCATTTAAAAACAGTCATTAAAAAGAAAAGATAATAAAAGAAACATTAAAAGAAAAAATACATGAATAAAAAGTTGCAGTTTAAGATATGAATAGTTCACACAGAAGTTCCATTTTACTGATGCCTTTCTTTAAGGTTTCTCCGAACATGAGTTGTGTACGCTTGCATGGCACATAGGTCCTGAGCAGCACACCAGCCCCAGCCAGGACAGAGTCCCCAGACACTGGTTCCCTGGGGTTACTAGCCCCAGATGTTCATTAACCAAAAAGGAAACACAACCACTCGGTTTCAATTAGGACATTACTAAGTTTAAAACAGCTGCAAAAATGTTTTCTGCTTTCAGCAAAAACAAAGGGAAAAAAGAGTGACATGTGTGACTCATACTGACTGTCATACACTACAGGAGGCCTTGAAAACAGAAAGTTATATGGAAAAGGGAATTCAACAATTTAAGACCAATGCACAACTTTTCCAAATTCCACCACTAAAGGTGTTATTATAATATAAGAACGATATAGTAACAGTGAAATCATTCCCTCCCTTTGTGCTGAAGGTGCTCTGGCGTGGAACGGAGAGCAGCTGTCGTCGGGGAGTCGGGACCGAGTGATCCTGCAGCGAGACGTCAGGACCCCCCCCTCAGCTGAGAGGAGGCTGCAGGGTCACAGACAGGAAGTGTGCGGCCTCAAGTGGTCCCCGGACCACCAGCACCTCGCGTCCGGGGGCAACGACAACAAGGTAAGAGAGAGATAATAGTAAAGAAAATGAATAAGTAAGATTGAACATATCTGTTGTCTCCTGCCAGCTGCTGGTGTGGAACAGCTCCAGCCTGCTCCCTGTGCAGCAGTACAGCGACCACCTGGCGGCGGTGAAGGCCATCGCCTGGTCCCCCCACCAGCACGGGCTGCTGGCCTCAGGGGGGGGCACGGCCGACCGCTGCCTGCGCTTCTGGAACACTCTGACGGGCCAGGCCCTGCAGAGCACCGACACCGGGTCCCAGGTCTGCAACCTGGCCTGGTCCAAACACGCTAATGAACTGGTGAGGACTCTCACACACACACACACACACACACACACACACACACACACACACACACACACACACACACACACACACACACACACACACACACACACACACACAACACACACACACACACACACACACACACACACACACACACACACAAACACAAACAAAACACACAGTTATCTGTAGATATTTGTAATTAAAATAGTTTGTTCTTACAATTGACTCCTATTCAAACTTATTTAGATATCTTCAATTCAGTTACGTGTTCTTATTTCAAGTTGACTCATCCACAATGTAATTTTGATCATTTGTAATTGTAATTCTAAAAGTGAAATAATCACTAGTTAAATGGTTCATTATTGATGGCAATAATTTCATTGTGACTTTCATGTAAATTGTTCTTACCACCAAATGTACCAAAAGTAAATGCAATGTTCATTTTAGATATCTACAATTACAACTAAACTACAGCTATCACAAATAAAATAACAGATATATACAATTCTATTGTGATTAGTTGTAATTCAATTATTGTAAAAGTAACCAGTAAGATTGAAATGTAAGATTTGCATTTAAAGAATAGCATTTGAGATATTTGAAATATCTCTTGGTTCAGTGCTAAACGTTGGTGTTGTATTTTGATAATGACCATTCTTAATGTTATTCCCATAATACACCTTCCACGCAAGATAAGTCGATGAATGGCTTCACCCTGACCACGCCCACATATCTGAAATGCTTTGTCAGGCATATCAGAAATGTTATTCTTGATATCTAAAAATGGAAAATTCCTTTTTTACATGTGTGACAATCTTTTTTCAACTCCTAAAAATCCAATTAAGTGATAGTTATGGTTACTGTTGAAAAATGGGTTAGGGTTATATTTAGGGTCCGGTTATAGTTAGCATCTTTATGTATCATGTTAACTTTATCCCACTGATAACTTCAATTCATATTTGAAATAATTCAAAACTTTTATTTCCAGATGTTGAAATGTCATTTGGATTGAAAACCAGTGTTAGGGTTTACTGTAGGTTAGGTTTGCTTTGTATCCACACAGCAAAAATATTCAGCCATGACAGAAAATGTAAAACTCTGCTCATGTACTCCAACACAACAAACTAACAGAACCTCAGCGGGCTCACAGAGGGTTGGGATATTAGGTCCGATTATAACTCCATTCCAGATCATTAGACTTGCATATGTGATCTATAAGTTAATCGTGCTGTCTCTGTTTGCAGGTGAGCACTCACGGCTACTCTCAGAACCAGATCCTGGTGTGGAAGTATCCGTCGCTGACGCAGGTGGCCAAGCTGACCGGACACTCCTACAGAGTGCTGTACCTGGTGAGACTGCAGCTTTAAACTACTGGCCATGCAGCTCCTCTGTCAATATTTAGAGAAAGAACTATTCAGATGCTTCCTTTTAATTATCTTATTTCCTATTTACAACATTTGATATGTTTTTCTTATCCCATCAAGGGTCAGTGGGTTAATATGCTGATTGAAAAATCCCTTGGCAAATTGGTTATTTATATGTGATATTGAAAAGGTAATTTTTTTTTTAGTCACCTTTTTTATATGCAAATAATTACTCTTCTTAATTCATTAATATACATAACTTGTGACATAAGCAGTCTAATAAATGTATTAGAGTATAAAGTCCTCTATTTTGGTTGAGATGAAGTAGCACCACTGAGAAAGTTTTGAATGCCAATTTACCGATTGAAACATCCCAAAATGTCCCCCTCACCATTTATTCTCTCTGTCCTCCGTTGGCAGGCTGTGTCACCAGACGGGGAGGCCATCGTCACAGGAGCTGGGGATGAGACACTACGTTTCTGGAACGTCTTCAGTAAGACACGCTGCACAAAGGTACAGTCCAATAGAGCGCAACATAACCATCAAACTGTCTGACGTCTTTGTTGTTGGAAGTTACTGAATGATTGCATTCTTGGAATTTCCTGTGTTGATAAGTTCGATGGAACCATGCCGACTTTTGTAAGAAATTGTGTAGAAACGACTGCATTCCCATTGAAAAGTGCTTTGAAATAGGACAGTTAAATTAGCTTGGCAAAAACTTAGCGCATCATTTCCAGGGTAGAGCCCATGGATGTATGAACAGAACTGGATACAGCCGTTGAAATGGGGCCTTGTTAGTTCCTATGCAAATTGCTCATTGGCACATTAAGCCAAAACGGTTTGACTTTTGAGGGCAAAATGATGCAGATGTTCCATGTACTCAGGAAGTGGGACGGGCGGTGAAGCAAATTTAAGGGAGGGACCAAACAGTGGTACTACAACTTCTGTGTCGGATACGTGACGTCATCGGGCCGAATTTCTTTGACATCAACCCACATTAGGAACGAGTTGTCACTTGGGAAACCCCATAAAAAGGAATAAAGTATTATCTCTTCTTAAAAAAGACAAAGCTGATGTGGTCTTCTTACAAGAAACCTTTCTCTCAGATACTGAACATCTTAAATTGAAAAGAGATTGGATAGGTCAGGTGTATTTCTCATCATATAAAACCCATAGTAGAGGGACAGCTATTGTGATAAACAAAACTTGCCCATTCGAATTAGAAAAATTAGTTACGGACCCAAATGGTCGGTTTGTTTTGGTTGTTGGTACTATTTTTGGAACCCCAATCACCTTTTTAAATATCTATGCTCCCAATATAGATGAACCAATGTTCATGTCAGACATGGTGCTGCTCTTCAATGAAAATGGTAAAGGATTAGGACTGATGGGTGGCGATTTCAACTGCACTCTTAACCCTACATTAGATCAATCTAACCAATCCAAGAACCACAAGCTTAAATCCTCAAAGGTCCTTCAGGGGCTTTGAGCAGAATGCGGCCTTATTGACGTATGGCGTCAACTAAATCAGGATGTCAAAGATTACACTTTCTTTTCAAATGTCCACAACTCTTATTCTAGAATAGATTATTTTTTTATTCCCTCAAAATATATGCATAGGGTAAACGAATGTAAAATTGATTCCATTAATATTTCAGATCATGCAAGAGTTTATTTAACTATTCACTTGGAGAGTGGAGTTTGTATCCAGGCGCTGGAAATGTGATAACTCCTTACTTAGAGACGAAACATTCAAATAAAAAATGCGAATGTGGATAATTTACTATATAAAAGAAAACAATGACCCCTCTATAGATCCGAATATTATTTGGGAAGCTGCAAAAGCTACTTTAAGAGGACTTATTATCTCATACACATCTTTGAAAAAAACGTGAAAAAATGAAGCTCAGACAAGAACTTGAAAGAGAAGTAAACAGATGTGAAGCACTTCATAAATCCGCATCGACAGATGAAAACTGGAAACAATTAAACACAGCCAGAGCTAAATTAAATATTGACTTAACAAATGAAATCATAACACAAATGAATCTGATCAGACAAAATAATTATGAATTCGGCAATAAACCAAGTAAACTACTTGCCTATCAATTAAAGAAGCAGCAAGCAGAAAGGGCTATAAAGATAACTACCACCCAAAACAGATTAACCAGACTTTTTATGAATTTTATAACAAATTATACAAATCTCAAAGTGATTACTCACAAGATCAACTGGACAATTATCTCCATAACATTAATTTACCTACATTGTCTGATTTAGATCAAGAGTATCTAAACTCATCAATTACAGAAGTAGAAGTTTTGGCTGCAATTAAATCTATGCCTATAAATAAAAGCCCAGGGCCAGATGGCTTCTAGGCAGAATTGTATAAAGAGTTTTGGACTGAACTTCAACCTATATTTATGTCAATGCTTAACAACTTCTCTCACAACAGAACACTTCCTCAATCAATGAATCTTGCATACATTACTGTACTACATAAAGATGGAAAGACCCCTTGAATTGTTCTTCATTTAGGCCTATAAGCCTCTTGGATCATGATTATAAGATTATCACCAAATTATTAGCAAAACGACTGGAAATTATTTTACCTAAACTAATTAGTCCTGATCAAACAGGTTTTGTCAAGGGCAGATATTCTTCTGATAATATAAGGAGACTTTTGAATATTATAAACCATTTGGACACGGGTCAGAAGCCATCTCTGCTTCTTTCTTTAGATGCAGAGAAGGCTTTTGACAGGGTTGAGTGGAATTTTCTTTTTGCTATCTTGAACAGATTAAATATGGGCTCTCTGTTCATAGAGTGGGTCAAATCAATTTATAAAAATCCTAAAGCAGCGGTTATCACTAACTGCAGTTCCTCAGATTTGTTTCCACTAACAAGGAGGACAAGACAGGGATGTCCTCCGTCACCTTTGCTTTTTGCAATTGTAATTGAACCACTGGCGTCATGTGTGCGAGACAACATAAGTATTAAAGGAGTGAAGATTAACGATGAACACAACATTTCTCTGTATGCTGACGATATCATTCTTTACTTAACAGACCCAGAACATTCAGTACCACACTTGCACGACACGATAGAGCAATTTGGAAGATACTCAGGATATACAATTAATTTAAGAAATCGAATGCTTGTTTCTTAAATATGACGCCAACAGCAAATTTGGAAAAGTCTTGTTCTTTTAATTTGTCACCAGGTGGCTTTAAATACTTAGGAATAAATATAACACCACACCTGGATAATCTGTTTAAAGAGAATTACAATCCACTCATTGACAAAATCAAACAGGATTTATCTAAATGGTCCACATTACCAATATCACTGCTAGGAAGAATCAATGTCATAAAAATGAATATTCTACCGAGATGTATTTTTCTTTTTCAAATGTTACCATGCTATTTATCCGCTGACTATTTTAAATCTCTCAATAGACACATCTCAAAATGTATCTGGTGTAATAAAAAACCAAGAATCAAGTTACTTACTTTTATGAAACCAGAACTTGGTCTTCCCAACTTTCAACACTACTTCTGGTCAGCTCAATTAAGAAATGTACTATCTTGGTCTCTGGGAAGAAAGGATTCACTATGGGTTCAGATAGAAGCCAATACCTTTGACCCGTTGCCAGTGGAAACTCTCATATTTGTTAAAGACTTCAATAAGGTGAAAAATATGGCCAAATGTTTTACAGTGGTCAATACACTTTTAGCCTGGAGGGACTGTACAAAAAAAGCTCATGTTAACTCAGGTATTTCGATCTTTTCTCCTATTTTGAACAATCCTGATCTTAGCAAATATTTGTTGTCAATTAATATAAACAAATGGACGAAATCAGGTATAAAGCAATTGAAACATTTGTTCCACAAAGATATAACATTAACATATAACATGATATAACATTTAAGAGCAGAATATGACATTTCAAATAAGGATTTTTTCAGATACCTGCAAATTAGGAACGTGATCCACTCAATTATTAAAGGCAATAAATTGAGATCGGGATTGTTGGAAGAGGAGGAGATATTGATGTCATCGAGCACGATCAAAGGTACAATTAGAGAATTTAATGCAGTTTTTTCTAAAAGAGCTCAGTCATCCTTTCCAACTTTAAAAAATATCTGGGAAAAGGACTTAGGGATACAGATAGATGAAACTACTTGGCTGAATATCTGTGAAAGAACACATTTTCCATTCACAAGCAATAAAATCAAAGAAACAAATTTTAAATTTCTCAACATATTTTACCTCACACCCATAAAGATGCATGAAATGTCCAAAGAAAACTCTTCAAAATGTCCGAGATGTAAAGTAAAAGAAGGAACATTTATGCATCTGTTTTGGGACTGTGATCTCTTGAAACATTTCTGGGATTCGATTCATGCATTCACAAAAGCCGTTTTAGGCATCGAAATGAGCCAAAATCCATGTTTTTTTCCTGTTAAATGACATGCCAAACTTTAAACTGAACCCCAAACATTACAGAATACTAATCACAATAACATATTTTGCCAAGAAATGGATACTTTTACTCTGGAAGAATGAACGTCCTCCAACATTTAAACTTTTCATTGATCAGATAAAATGACAGTGATGGAATAGTGCACTCTGTGGCTATTTTTCCTGACGGCCGGAAATACTAGTTGTGTTGTCATTGTCTATATTGTCGCTGTATTGTATAATTAATTGTATAATTATTTGTTTGTTTTACTTTGATGTGGGTTTATTTATTTATTTATTTCCTTTTTTTCCCCATTTTTTTTCCATTTTATGTTTATCTTCATGGCTCTGTTGTTTAAGTTATATTGATAAGCATTTTTTATTTTTTTTTGCGGGTGGAGGGAGGGAGGGAGAGGGGAGTGTAGTGAGTGCACTGTGGTACTGTGATATTACAATATAAATGAAATGGCATCGATTACTGTACACTATAATGAAATAAAAAGACTTGTAAAAAAAAGAAAAAGGAACGAGTTGTCTGTAAATCAGTGGATAGTTTCTAGTCAGGTAAATTAACTTCACTTGAATAGTAGGTTTTTAAATAATTTGTTCGTGATTCCAGAGTTATTTTCTTTCTCCAATCATTTGACTGAGCCGAGATTGTCCTTAGGCGCGTTCACATCAGAGTGCTTTTACCCATACTTTTCCTGTTTGGTTCCGATAGTGCCTGGAATTTTGCATTCACACCAAAAAGAGAACTTAATTCCAAGAACTTTTACCCCATTTGTAGTCCCTGCTAGAGAGGTGGTACTATCCTGGGGGGAAAAAGTACCAATTTCGATTGGCTGGGCGAATTCTTTCACACACACATACGGGTTTTGGGCCGAGGGCGACACCGTACTTCCGGTATCCGCCATTTCACACGAGGTGCAAGCAGAATATCATAGTCTATTGCCTTAATCAATATAGTCAACTCTAAAATACCACATATATGCATTGGCATGATAATATTATTGTGACAAGTGGGGTAGTTTTTACTAACCGGTATCAGT